GTTATTTTGACCTTTGAATGTCATGATGTTCCTCACGTGATATTTTGAAGCTCCCGCTACCTAAACGTCGTTGCGCAGCAATTCTTCTAGCCATTTCAATTGTTGAATACTGTCTGGTAACGGATAATTTTGGAGGATGCTGCTGTAAAGTGCCTGGTAAAATATCATTTAAGCTTCTTGGAAGCGGTGGCTTACGTTCATTTTCATTGAAACGTGCTTGATAACCTGAAAAAAATATATAATATTTTACTTTCTACCTGAAAAATAAAAGCTTAATGTATAATGAAAAATAAGTTTCAATCTGATATCACTTTATGCTTATAAAATTAAATGAATACATATGCATTCATCACTTTATAATAATTCAAATTTGTATTTTAAAATTACAAAAATGATTTACAACAATTCTTCAAAACCATAATAGATATTTTTGTAATGAGTTTACACAACTAATGAAAAATCACCATGTCGATTTGGACGAATCACTTGCTGCTTGGAAAATGTAATAGAATTATCTTCATCAGAATATGAATAACCACCAGAATTATTATTTTCCTGATCACTATCAAAATGTACAACAAGAAAATGCGATGACTTTCTTCGCTTGCGAGAATTTTTACCTGAAAAGTTTTAAGAAGTAAATAAGTTGATGGAATTAAAACTTGAGTCTTTTACTTTCCAAATACATCAATCACTCTTTTAATTCATTACTTAATTTCATCTACTACCACTCAATATGTCATTCTTCTATTACTGCATAAAGAACTGCGATTTTATTTTACATGAAATAATATATTTATACTAATATTATTCAAGTAAAAACTAAAGCTACACTTATGGTGGAACATATCTACCATTTTTTCCACACGAATTTTTAGCTCAAAAGCACAAATTGTGTTGGTTTTGTCACAAAATTGAAAGTAATTTTGAATAATTTAGTCAGTTAATCTCATAACATAAATGATTACCTGTGTTTATCAAATTTTAAGAGAGTTTTGAAATGTAAGTTTAAATATTTTTGTTTTTCAACACTATACAATACGACTAATATCTTTTTATAAAACAAATGAAGCAGACAAAAGCTCGACAAAAATTTCATGCTGTGTTTACGTCAAGATAATACTGATCTATAGATCAGTCTTATCATTAGTACTGATCTATAGATCAGTATTATCATTAGCATCGATCTACATGTAATCACTAATATCTTTTTTCTAATACCTTATATTCTCAACAAAAGTTATCATTGCCAAGAAATAAAATTATTACGGAAACATAAGCAGTAGCAAAAGCAGTAAGCATGCCATAAATGCGAAAAATTATTATATATGTGATTATAAACAGATGGACATGTATTTGTTTATGAATGTTACGATATTTTAGTAAGTCATACCATTTTTTGGGAAGTCGTTTCCTGAATGAAACAGTCATCATAAGCTGTGATGGGTATATGCTTATAGCTTATAGTTTGATGCTTTCTCAAGAATAAGACAACAAAAAGCTTCGTTATTAATAATTATATTATGAAAAAATTGACAGCTTATTAAAACAATACAAAAACTGTTTTTTATAATATTTATAATTTCTTTTGTAAGAGCAAGTGTTTTCAATAACATAATTATTTTAGAAGCATGACA